TGACCAATTCACAGAACTCAAACGAGCAGGACAATACAGATATAAACTTACATACAAAAAACCAAAAGACACAGAAAAAATCCTTAATTCAACACAAACATTAAAAAACAATAATTACAAAGCTTTCATTCCAAAAATGTTACTTGAAACTACGGGAATCATTAAAAACATACCTACGACAATCACAGAGCGAGAAATCTATCAAAATGCAGTAAGTGAAAAAAAGATAATCAGAGTAGAAAGAATAAAACGAAGGAAAGATCCGAAAGACACACGATCGGGACTAATCGATACAAGATCTGTGAAAATAACCGTTGACGGTTCACAACTACCAAGAACAATCCAAATATACGGAGTTTATGCGAAACCAGAAATTTACATTTATCCTGTCAGAATTTGCACAAAATGTTGGAGGTTAGGTCATAAAAATGTAGCATGTAAGAGTAAGACGACATGTATTAAATGTGGAAAATATGAGACAGAAGATCACACAGAATGTCAGAAAACGAACAGACGAAAATGTAGGAACTGTGGAGGAGATCATTTACCGACTAGTAAGGATTGCCCAGAACGCATAAGAATGGAACATGTAAATGTTGCAATGACAGTGAACAAAATGACATATCAAGAAGCAGAACAACTATATCCAAAGCCTGAAATTAGCACTAGGAACAGCTATGCTCTTCTGGAGTCTACCGTTGATTTCCCTGAAATGGAACAACCAAGTACGACAAACAGAGAGTTCAGACAAGTAAATAACTCGAACAAGACAAAAATTGACTACAAACAAATTGTGCAAAATCTAACACAAAATAACACACCAAATCAGACAAACAATTATAAACCGGAAATTAAAAAAAATACTTACCCAACAGTAGAAATAATCCCAGAACAGGTCAGAACTATTAATTACAACTCACATAAAGTCACAGAAGCTGAAAAACTACAAACCACACAAAAACAAAACCTTACAATACTACTACAAAACATCTTTTCCAAAATCACGGATAAAAAAATCGTCAACAAGACAGAATCAGATTTACTTTTGATCGAGATTGGTTCAATGATACAAAACTTATTAAGTCTAACAAAAGAACAACATAAAACATAATAAATCTTATTTTGAAGTCATGGATCAATCCTACTTAGGAGACTTAAATATATCCCAATTAAACATTCACAGTTTAAGACCTCTTCATAAAAGAGAAACAATTAAAACATACCTAAAAAACAAAAATATTCACATATTTCTACTTCAAGAAACTTGGCTTAAGCCAGACGAAAAATATAAATTTCTTAACTACAACTTCGTAAAAAGCTGTAGAATAGATGGTTACGGGGGTACAGGAATATTAATTCACCCCACACTCATATTTGAAGAAATTACATTCCCAAATATTGACTTAGAACTAACAGCAGTAAAAATAAAAAATCTGAAACAACCTATAATATTCATATCCATTTACATTCCACCAGACTCTACATTATCAGAAATTAAAAATCATCTAGAAAACCTTTTTAACTATATGGATAAAAGTTCAACCCCAATCCTCTTAGGGGGGGACTTCAATGCCCACAACCCAATTTGGGATAATCAAACTGACAAAACAGATAGAAGAGGAGAGTTCATCAGTGAGCTACTAGAACTCAGTAATATAATATTCCTAAATACAGGAGTTTCAACCCGATGGGAAGACTTGAATCAAAGACCATCAGCAGTAGATCTTACATTTACATCAGCAGAATTAGGAACGAAAATCAGTTGGGAAACCAGTACAGAAGACTTTGGATCAGATCACAAATTAATCGAATGTGTAATAAACGCATTCAATAAATTTGATAATAATATTCCAAAAACATTAATTAACAAAGGAAAAGCAATTCATAATATAAATCAAATTAATCCTAAATCTCTTAAAAATATAAATGATTTAAATAATGAAATTAACGAAGCATTAAAACAAGCTACCTACACAATATACCCAAATAGCAAGAAAAAAATTAAACCTTACTGGAATGAAAACATCAAAAAACTTTACGAAACAAAAAATAAAAAACATATTAAATTCAGACAAAATCTAACCCTAGAAAACAAACATGAATTTAAAAAGGCAGAAAGAAATTTTAAAGTGGCACTAAAGAAAGAAGTAATGCAATACAGAAGCAATATGTTACAGGAAATCAATGAAAATACGACTATTGATAAAATGTGGAAAATAGTAAGATGTGTCAGTGGTACCTACAAAAATAAAGATAATATAGAACTATTAAATAATAAAACTCTAGCAAATAAATTTCTAGAATTAAACTTCAAACAAGAAAGTAACACAAATTTACAATTCTACAATTACAACGTAGAACAAGAAAAATATGTACAACCATTAAACATTGAAAATATGATGAAAACAATAAAAGAGAAAAAAGATACGTCTGCTGCTGGACAAAATAAATTGTCATATTATTTCTTAAAACAAATAAAATCTGATCTATTAATACGCATACTTGAGCTCACAAATGAAGTTTGGATGACCCAAAAAATACCAGATGAATGGCTAATCATAAAAATAATACCAATCCTAAAACCGGGCAAAGACAAAACATTAGAAACATCTTATAGACCAATAGCACTTATCAATATAAATTTAAAAATAATAAACTGTGAAGTTAAAAAAAGAATTAACTCTTTCATAGATGAAAACGAACTAATACCCAAACTTTCATTTGGTTTTAGAGAAGGCTATTCGGCAATAAATTGTATTAATTATATTAACTCCGTAATAACAGAAGCAAAACGCTCTAAACAAGTCATAGCTACAATTTTTTTAGATCTCACAAAAGCTTTCGATTCGGTAGACATAAACATATTATTAAAACAACTAGATAATCTTAAAATACCAAGAAAAATAGTTGCTTGGTTGGAAACATATTTAAAAAACAGAACAATCACAATCGAAACCACACAGGGAGAAATAATTAAAAATACTAATAAAGGACTGCCTCAAGGATGTCCCCTATCACCAATTTTATTTAATTTATATACCAGGAACCTTCATGAAATAACGAACGATAAAATAATTTTTGTACAATTTGCAGACGACTTCTCAATAACAATACTAGGAGAATCACGTGAAGAAGTAGAAATAACAGCAAATATAATACTAAACCAACTTAAAGACCAATTGAAGTCACTAAAAATAGACGTCAATCCTGATAAATCAGGGGTTATATTATTTAACTCAAAGAAAAATGATAATATTATAATAAAAATCAACGAAAAACAAATAGAACAAAAAGAACAACAAAAATACCTAGGTTACATAATCGATAGTAAAATGTCACATAAAATGCACATAAACTATCTAAACAATAAAATTAAAAAACGATTAAATATTATGAAAATGATCTGCAAAAAGCAGGATGGAGCACATCCTAAAACAGCACTAAAAATAAACAAAGCAATAATAAGAGCGCAAATAGACTATGGAATAACAATATATGGGGGAGCAGCAAAGACAAACTTAACGAAAATAAACTCAACATTCAATGCCTCACTTAGAACATGTTTACGTCTTCTAAAATCAACACCGATAAATGTATTGTACGCGGAATCAGGGGAAATCCCGATTCAATGTAGGGCAAAATGGCTTGCAAAGAAAGAAGCAATAAAAACATTTACATATAACAAACCGTTAGTTAACATAACTCAGAAATTCCTAGAAATAGATAAACTTCCTAAGCACTACACTTTTTTGGAACACACGATATTTGAAAATAATTACCTAATCATTTTAACACACAACTCAACACAAACAACAAACAATATAAAAAAATATATAAATGAAAACATTAAAACAAACATACCAGGTCTTAAAATTAACGATATGAATAATGATACAATAAAAACCATTTTCATAAACTTTTTAAATGAAACATATGATAATTTTTATAAAATATATACCGATGGATCGAAAACAAAAGAATCATGTGGAATAGGAATATGGATCGAGAATAATAACGAAAAAATTAAGTGCAAAGTCAGTAAGGAACTATCGATTATGAATGTAGAATTAATGGCTATAGACATGGCTTTGGACATCACAAACACAAAAATCGAAAACCAATTTGTCATATGCACAGATTCAAAATCAGCATTAACCAGCATAAATAATAAAAACTTAAAAGATAATTTTTTAATTCACAATATCATCACAAAACTAAACACAACAAATAAAACGATAAAACTACAGTGGGTTCCAGGACATAAAGGAATATTAGGAAACGAGAAAGCAGACATACTAGCAAAAGAAGGATGTCAAAGTACTCAAAGTATAAATTCAAAAATACCATTGGGAGACTCTCTCAATTTAGCTAAACACGAAACTATAGAAGATTGGATACAAGAATACACTACACTTTCATCACAGAAAGGCAAATTACACTACAATTTATTAAAAGACCCGACACTAAAACCATGGTTTGATAAATATAATTTAGCTACACACGAAATAGTCACAATAGGTAGACTAAGAACTTTTCACACACTAACTAAAGAAAAATTATATTCATGGAACCTGGTTAGAGACGACAAATGTGACACATGTGGGGTAAAAGAGGATATCAACCATATTCTATTTGTTTGCTTAAAATATTCTAGAACAAATTACAAAATTTTAAATGAATTCAACAATATTGAAGAATTATTACTTAATTCTGACTACAGAGATTACAAAAAAATAGCAAAATTTATTTCCTTAAACAAAATAACACTATAAAAACTAGATTTCACGTAGGTGTATCACTCTATAATCATATCATATATTCAACTGTTCATTTAATCGAAGAAAAAAAATAAATAAAGAGATCGCGACCGACGATCCAATAAATAAACATGATTAAAAATAAAAACGAAATCGCTTCATGACTTGACCACACTTGGCAGTATGGACCAACTATGGTCCCGCCACCAAAAGGAGAAGAAGAAGAAGAAGAAGAATGCGAGGAACGCGACTGTTGATTTCAATTTGAAGAGGAAATTTAGAAATATTACTTGTATTTTACGGTTTTTATTAAAACAATTTTATCTGATAGACAAGTAAGTGCAGCGCTTTGCTTGTGGGATAGCTAGACGAAAGAACAAACCGTTGACTCATGTAAATATCTTCTCGCGTGTAATGATGAACAATCTAGCTTCTGTTTCTCATTGTTTTGTTTGTGTTCCAGGAAATGATAACGGAGTGAAATCAATCCGACGATGGATGATAATCATGTTTCTGGTCGAAAAGCTGGCGAGCACAATCAGGATGGCTTATTGGATAAGAAATCCAGACGGGAACATGCAGGTGAAAAAGTTGACAGTGGAGGGTCAGCAGCGGCCGGAGGTGGCCGAAGCGGAAAGCGATATCAAAATTCTCGCACCATAACGAAACGGAAAGATAACCAGAAACAATACGGAGATACTCTCAGTATGGGATTCAATTCGCAGGAGCTGAACAAACAATTGCAAGCTAATCTTCCGGAAGACATGAGGATTTCAAAGCTTCTTCGAAGACTCTGTCAGGAAACGGACGTTAAAACCTGTCTGGATCTTTGCTCTAAACTTGGAATTGTCGTATTAGAACCCTGCAACATCTCGTACGTTCGGAAGTCGTTCGACATTCTGGCAGATGGAATCATGTCCGTATTGGAAAATGGACCTCGAGATTGCGTCGAAGCTGTTGCGGATGTGTTCGGTATGATGGGGTACGTGGCACGGCACGATTTCAACGTGTATCGTTCCTGGATAGTCAAATATTACAAATATTCGAAGAAGCTAAAGCGAGCCATGTTGAGAGCTCTGAAAAAGACCGTAGCACTTGATGCTGGCGGAGAGTTGAAAGATTCGGCCGGAAAATTGATGGATTTGTTGAAGGATTATTTGGAAGCAGCGGATACGGTTGAATCTTTCGTTGCCATTACCGATATTGTCGGAGAATTGAGCAACAGGTATCCTAATCATTTCAAACCGCATTTCAATGACGTTGTAGACATTGTGGTCGGCTGGCACCTGGAAACAGATCAATCAGCAGAAGTGAAAAAGCATTGTACGAAGGTGAGATTTATCAGTCCTGATTTTGGAATAGATTATTTTACAATTTACGATATCTGTTGTAGGTTCTACTGACTTTCAAACATTTCTGGTACGAGGATTTAAAATTCACGCTTAATTTGTTAAGTCAGTTCATCGAGGACATTGGAGTGTGCTGTGAAGATTTGGAAGCATCGGAGGGTGAAGATAAGCAGGCACATTTATTATCATTGGCCGTTGCATTCAGCTCGTTGCTGGATGCGTTTAACACCGTAATCAAATGTTTGTTTGCAACGCCCGAGTCGCTAATGCAATCGGTTGGGAAGGACGTGATGGACAGTAGCTTTCAGCTTATTGTCAAAGGAAGCTTAGTCATCACGAAGGACCGCTGCCTCGAAGAAGTGCTGTTGCCAATCAACGAATGTTTGATAATCCTGCTGATGTTGGAACCATGTGCTCTGGCAATTGGAGTTGACAATGTTCTCTCGGTGATTCAATCAGAAACCCAAAACATTGAGCAGATGAATCAATATCAGACTTCTAGTCTTCTGTTGCTTCTGTTCCAGTATGTAGAGTTCAATGCTGGAAATTTGTCTTCGGAATTCCTGAACCTACTTTGGGATCCCAAGTCATCTTTCATCAAGCTACGTTACCATCAATCGCGAGTGATCCAGGAAGGATTGCTCAAACTGTATCATCGAATTCTGGCAATTAAGAATGTCGAAATACTACAAGCGGCATACAAGTTCATTTTGGACGACTTGGATAAAGCAATGTCCTCTGTGAAGGATAGGAAGGCAATGATAAGTTCTATGGATTATGTGCGGGCTCAATTTGACATCAATTTTAACCTGTTGACATTATCTACCTTGGCAACGTCTAATAGTTCGATCCTTGTAATGTGGACGCTCCAACCGAGTATTCTCGTGGTGTTACTGGACAAGTTGCGGCTGCTGGATACCGATCTCTGGAGTGACTATCAAAACTTACACTACGCAATCCTGCGGGTTGCCTATCAGCACTGCGTCAAGAATAACAACTTTGTTTCGTCTAGCACTCTGTTGAGATCCAAAAACTATTCCTTGGTGGATTCATTTAATCGTCTCGTTCTAGAAACAGACTCGGCGTCCTCCTCTAGCCCTTCGGCCGAGCATTTCCGATTAATCATTGAATTCCTTGAAAAGGCTCTACCGAACGATAATGCCATACATCACCTGGAACTACTTTTGGACTGGAGCCACGCAGTCGTTGCCCAATCATCACAATATTTTGATGTTCTGTTGGAAAATCGCAGCTTCACGGCTATTCTGCAAAGCATATGTGACATTAGCATGCGTACGAAGAAAAGCCTTACGCTAAAATGCGCTCAATGTCTCGATCTAGCAAGTTCTTACAAAAAGCTGGCAGCGCCAGTTTTTCAAAGCATTGCGGAAGTATGTTGCGTTCACATGTGTTCGGTCGATAACGAGGTCCGGAAAATATTTTCGTACATTCTTGGGAAGCTTCCCTTGCGTTTTTCGTTGAAACAGGTAAGTGTTGGTTGAAGGTTAGCGTTGCACTGCATTCTAAGCACTTTTTCTTTGTTTCAGGTGAGCCAGTTCAGTGGAAATAACCTGAGACGTAGCCAGCGGATTTACGACCTTCAAAGTTGGTATGTGAGTACGGAAAATACCGGTGGTATGCGTTCGCAGTATTTTCGATCATTCGTTGAGAAAATTGGTTTCCATCGGGATGCTGAACCTATTGACGAATTCCTCAAGGAAATGTTCACCAAGTCGTGGTTCGTCAGTAAGGATAAAAATCGTGCCTACGGTGAAATGGCTCTGAAGGATTTGCGCTGCTTGGTTCCCTGGGTTCAGTGGGAAGCTGCTCATCTATGTGTCAACAGCAAACTTCGAACTCCTATCGGGAAACCACAGGAAACGTTTCTGAAGATTGAATCAATAATCAAAGAGGATGCACGAGTTCTAGCACTAAAGGAACGTACATCCGTGCGGGATATCAACGTTTCTATGACAAATCAACGACATGCGAGGATTTTACTTGGATTCTTGGAGGCATTGGAAAAGGCCATCTATAATGCTGCTGAAGGAACTGCATTTGCACTGCCAAATCCGGAGAAGCCGGCTAGAACTTTTTTTCGCGTTAATTCGTCAACCTGCGCCGAGTGGTTCACCCGCATTCGTACGGCCGTTGATTTGGTCGCATTGCACTGTATGGAACCGGAAATGGTGATTCGGTATTCGGAAGCTGTACTGAAAGAATTGGTCCAGGTCAACAAAGTGAACGATCTTGTTTTTGAGCACACTTTAATGTCGCTCGTGTGGGCTTTGTTGAGGAACTGGGAAAGCGATGCCTTATATGGTGTGTACGTATGGGCAAAAAAGGTCACTGGAAGGAAATATCCGTGGATCAAAATGGCAGCGGAGGAAGCAGTCGGCCATCGTGAAACAGCTACTGAAGGATTTTTGAATATCTTGGCAGATCCCGAGTCTGCAAATATGGATCGCCATATCCGGGATTTTATTGCTGACCAAATAACTTTGACGTTGATCTTCACCGAGCGACTTCCCGAGCTTTACGAGTTTTTGGTCTCAGAGGAGACCAGCGGAACTCCAAGGGCGACTATTCCACTGCTGACGTTCACATCGAAGCAGGTGAGTAATAACTATTTTTTTTTTTGTAAATGAGACTGGGTTGCACTTTTATTAAACAATATTTATTAAAAATAATGATAAACTTTCACAGACTGATTCCTAATTCTTAGCCTATATTTCTTAGTCTATTTTTAAACATAGACTTGAGCAAATTGTAATTAAAGACAGCACTCACATTATTAATCGATCTAAAACAATTATCCAAAGGGAAATTGAAACCATATTGAACGAACACTTCCGTTATCATTTATGTTTCTTGAAATAGACAAAAAAAAATATAGATTTCATAAATGTGTCGTATGAAAATGATACGTTATTATTATGAAATTTACGTTTCGTTCGTATGAATTAGAAACAAGAGGAATTCGAAATGCAATCGAATCAACTATGCAATTCATCGTGGCTATTCCTGTGCATTCTGGTGTTCGTTTTTTTCTTGCAAATTAATTATATACATGGAAACAAACAATCTAATAACTTCTCTAGTAAACACATTGGAATCTCAAATTCATATTTATTTTATAATCAAAGAAAAATTAAACGTTGCAGCGTTGTTTTGATTTTTTGTGTTATAATCAACATCACTTAAAAAGTAACTTTAACTTTAGAAATTCACGTCCAAATTAAATTGCTCCAGAAGATCTACCTGTGCCCGATAATGCTTGTTATTAAAGCCATACATTCTATAATTTTAAAAAATGTATGTAGGATCCTGAATATCATTTAGAATTCAGCGTTTTTACCTCTCAATACAGCCCAAGTTTCCGCCAGAACTTTGACATACGCTAGTAATTTCGGCTCGTACGCCATATTATTTTGTATTGAACAAATCATACGAGCACACAAAATCAACTCATAAAGTTCATTGCAGCCTCGTATGAATTTTAGGGGAGTTCTGTAAAGAGAGATGATAAAACCGATTTGTACCTTCCTAAAGATGTCCTTGGTCGCTTTCTACTCGCTATATGCAATTTTTACACTGCCGTACTCTAAACGAAACTATCAATTCTATACTTTCATCTTCTCATCTATCGTATAAAAATTACCACTCTAGTCTGTTATTTGAAATTAGCATCTTCAACTTTAAATTAAAAATGATGTTCACGAATATATTTATAATATTAGATTTTTCAACGGCGCCGGTGGTGTAGTGGTAAGCGTGATTACCTCTCACCCCAGCAGGCCTGGGTTCAATCCCAGTCGGCGCCGCCGGGATGTTCTGAGGCATAACATCTCTGATCACGCCTTCCTTCGGATGGGAAGTAAAGCCGTTGGTCCCCGGTTCATGAGTTGATGGGTCGATAGGTAGGGTCCAGGTGTGGGAGCTGCCTTCCTGGCACGTCGCTAGCATTGGTGCTCAGCACGGAAAACAAGATCGACGGAAAAAACAAACCAAAGAAAAAAAAATATAATTTTTTTCGTATTTATTTCTACACTGAAAAAAGTTTTCATATAGTTTCCATTGGGAACGCACATGATATTTTTCCAATAACAAAATTAATGATTTTTACCTGAAATTCACATAACATTCATATGATCACATGAATCCTATGTGATAAATCACATAAACTTCATTGGACACAGGTTCATGTGATTTCGTGGTGCGATTCCTAATTATAAGATCACATGAAAGTTATGTGAAATTCTAATGGATATTTTCCATCGGAAATGTGATTTATTTTTTGAGTGTAAACTCTTTACCATACTTACACTCAAAATAATTTTCACGTCAATGTTACGTGAAAAAATACATAATTTTTTTCCATCGCACTTTTCACGTAAGAGTTACGTGATTCATACATGAAAGCACTCATTTCAGTGCGTTTCGTTTAATTTCGTTTTAAATAAGATGTATCATTGATTTCGCATTTCAAGTATTCCTTGATTCCAATATATCTTTACTGCGGTCAATATACACACATGGGGGAAATAAATTCGAGCGGGATAAGTATCGGAAACGAGGTTACAACCATATGATGTAAGGGAGTTTAACTCGCATTCATACTCATGGTACTTCTTGTCGATATACTGAAAAAAAAACAAACTTTAAAGTTATTCTAACATAATCTTTATCTTTATCTTTCATACTTACAACACCAAATTATACCATGGAAATAAATAGGTAACCAAATTATCTAGATTTTCACTATGTAAACATGCACATTGCAATGCCACCATATTCTTATGATGAGTGATTCACTCATTTATTTTTCATAAGTGAGAATCACTTAGGGTTTATGTGAAATGTACATAGAATTTGTGTATGTGCAAATAACGTAAGTTTCATTACAAAATCTACTGACTTCGAAGGGAATTTCCGTTGATGCATACGTGGTATCACGTAGACTCTACTTGTGTCACGTAAAATTGACAGAAACGGGAAAAAGAGTGACTCTATGTGATTTTTCACGTAACAATAACGTGTGAATTAATTTGAGTGTACCATTACGAGTATCGAGTTGAGTATAGTTTCTAGTTTTAATTATTTCATGCTTTTTCCTAGGCTTTTTTTATAGACTAAATTTTCCCGTTAATTGTACACCTGAACGACGAGGTGACTCAGATGCTGAATCAGAGAGAAAGTGATAATTAGCTTTATTTATCCGGATGTTTGAGTATTCAATGGCGATGAGGCTTCGTTCAAGATGAAATTCAATATGGGAGGTATTCTCAAATCGAAAATGTTCGGCCTTTTTGGTTTTCGGCCTTTTGTGGTACCTTAGAATATTTTCGGCCTTTTGTGATTCGGCCTTGTCGGGTCCTGTGTTATGCCTGATGTGTTCTTTTTTTCCATACTCACGAGTCGCTGTGGTGACATTGGCATCTGTTACTTCCCTGCAGGGTTACCACCAACACTAATCGGGATTCCAGGGGTGATATCGGGTCGACAAGCTGCTCGTGATGATCGTAAAGGGCGCGTGCTGTTCGTAACAGCTAACAGGTCATGTTTTATCCCAATACGTTTTCTTGGGGTTTTCTCAGGTGTACCCTTAAATATTGTCCAATATTTTTTGGTATTTCATGTGATTTCGTTGTAGAACACTAAACAAAGTTTATGCAGTAATAAATTGAAAATCCAAACGCAAATTGTTTTTAAATTCGTTGTACATATTTAACTTGCAATTCTCAAAGAATATTCCCTAGATTTTCATGCTTAATGCTTTAAATCTACCTTGCATATATTCGTAGAATTTTCTTGAAATTAATCTTAAAAAATGTCCAGTTACGTCTGCAGTTAGTGTGCGCCTGAATTTGCTCAAATACTGCCTGCGGCATTACTACCTAAAGCCCCACGTTGCCGAAAGCATTTCAAGTCGATGGTGTGTTATAATCCAATTCCAGAGAACTTTGAGATTTTGGCGTAATTGCATTTGTAAGCAAACACGCCAATCGCCGATTGCTAACGAATAAAAGCTCAATATCGCAAACAAACTATACCAAATGATAAAGGAATCGTTCCTCTACCTGTTTGTGTTCTTAGTTTTTGAAAATGAGCTTTGATTCGTGAGAAATCGGTGATTGACGTGTTTGTTTACAAAAGCAATTACGCTCTAATCTCGAAGTTCTCTGGAATTCTTCTTTACCCAACTATTGTGTTGCTCCTCTCGTCATGACCACCGTAGTCATCTCAGAGAGAAAGCAGTAGGGTGGTTGTTGCGTGTTGTACACTCATCAACATTGTTGACGGCTACTCCCGCCTTGAGTTGTTACATTCAAAGCGTTTTTATGTTACTTCATACGCGAAGTTTGTGATTTTCAGAGTTGGTTGGAAATGCTATCTAACATAAAGCTCTTTAGTACGATAATTTATTAGCTAGAGAATGCTCTTAGAAGAGGGTAGGTAGATAGTTCCGTTAGAGTACGGCATTATACGGCAATGGATTATTATGTTGCATGCAATGATATGGGAAAATAGGGGACTCACGATTCAGCATGGAGAGTGTATGGGAGCCGTTCTAGGGGTTGGTTGTGGCATGTGGTTCATTTTATACATTATAGTTTGACGTGATAAGCATATTCCACTCACGTTCTGGAATGTGGCCTTGAGACTTGAGATCTTGGTTTCATAAGACCCCCTTCTGTCTGGTAAAATCGAAATAAAAAAATTGTTATAATCACTAAACTCTTTCGCTTCAACGCTGAACATCAAAAACCGGGAAATTTTGAAGATTATTATAGGAAAAATCGAGGAAAAGAACGGGAATTTTAAATTGAAAAATCACTGCCACCCTGATAGAAAATGCTTCCTTTCACTGAAGGTGCTCCGATGGTTTGGATTTTTAAGAGTTGGTGTGAAATAAGTATCTCCTCCAAATTTGATCCAAATCGAAAAAGGTATATTTTTTTATTTTTTCTAAGTCCTATATAGACCCTAAAATTTACAAATAATGTATATATGTTGGGTATGTATATGTATATGTATGTGTGTATGTTTATGTGCATTTATAAGTATGGGTATGTATGTATGAATGTATTAATTAATTTATTTATTTATTTATTTATTTATTTATTTATTTATTTATGACTATATATACATGTATGTATATGTATGTATGTATAGTAAGATTTAGGAAAGCTTCAAGAAGCCTTGGACACCTTGACCGTAATCTTCCGGGACCACTTATCGTATTACTTCGGACGTTGCATGACACAGCGCGTCTCACTTTGCCTCAGCTAACTGGCGCTTATGGTTCGCTGATTGTCTCTCCATTTTGTAAGCCATTTGTTTTTATGTGTTTTTTTTTTGTCGGTAGTATTAGTCTTATGTGATAAAAGTGGGCTCGGTGGCCTAATGGTAGCCGTTTTTGCTTACGGGGCAGAAAATCATGGGTTTAATCCCAAGCCCCTTACACAATTGTGCTCGTAGGATTGCATAATTTTATTGTCAGGCTTTAAAAGATCGCGTCACTTTCCAAAGTGATTCCAGATCTCATTTATCCTCCCTACTAACAAAACGTCCCTCCTGTGACAACCGTGGAGATGCAGAGGTATATTCGGTCTCTAGTAACAACGGTTGTCGAACTAACAATCCTTCCCTTCCCCCGATGACCGTAAGGACGTGGCCGGCGCCGTTATTGACCATATAAAGAACCTTCGAAACGTGTACTGTACATAGAGAATGGATAGCTCATCCCAGGCCCCATTCGTTTGGATCTATGTGCAATTTCGCTGGTTCTTGTCAACCACGGAGTAGCAACTACTGAAATGTACGGTCATCCAAGCTCAAGCTCAAGCTCAAGCCCTATATAGACCCTAAAATTTAGTGCTGTGATTTAGTTGTCCAAATGATAACCTATCAGTTAATGAAACAAAAATAACTTGTCGAGTCCCAGTCCCCTGCGCTTTGGTCAGGGAGCGTATAGGGCGTCGTTGTGCCAATTTGATCGTGACACATTTCGAGTATGAGAGAGTGATTGCAGTTTGCTCAAAAGTGCCTGAGTAAAATGCAAATACTGTCGATGATTACCCATATTCTCGTTTATGTCTGGACGTATTTACTATACAGAAACATTTTTATTTGATTTTGTGGTGTGGGTGGGTTTCGGGCGTGGACGGGCATTTGGTTGATAATATTAAGTTTACGTTAGGATAACGTTGAAAAATTGAGAAATGTATCGCTTCACTTTGCATGAACCATTCTGACGGCCCACATTGCCGTGCAGGCGCCGTGTGTTGGCAGGGTCCAATATTGGACAGTTTAATGTTTATAAAGTCCATCAGTTAAAATTATAATTTTGAGCTTTATCTCTATACATTCTTAGATGTTTCTTAGTAGATTATCATGTTGGTGTACGCTGATTCAAAGAGTAAATGGTATTAACAATGAGCTGTGCATAGTTGGGCGTTGTTGAACTTGTGGTACTTGCACAACATTTCATGTGAGTACCAAAGTAACCATATAATCACAAAATAACTTTAAATGTAGGTTCAGAGTGAGAAAATGTCACTGAGATATGGCTGGTTGGGTATTCAGATGAAGCTGTTACTTTAAAAAACTAATCCTTGCTGTACCTCTTTTTCGTTTGCATGTGACACTATTTGATATTACTAACCACACTGAACGTTCATTCCGAGTGGTGAGCGAACCTGAAGAAGAAGATGACTATACAGGATGAGTGGTACCATGACCCTCTTGTCGGAACGAGTGTATTGTTAATGGACCTGGTCTACACCGAAAAAAGTTTTCATATAGCTTCCATTGGGAACGCACATGATATTTTTCCAATAACAAAATTAATGATTTTTATCTGAAATTCACATAACATTCATATGATCACATGAATTCTATGTGTAGTGCGATTTCCAATTATGAAATCACATGAAAGTTATGTGAAATTCTAATGGATATTTTCCATTGGAAATGTGATTTATTTTTTGAGTGTACGATTCAAAGTTGGATTCTGTGATTATAAGTATCACATATAAGGTAAATAAGGTAGCATCATCTTTATCGAAATGTAAGTATTATTGACAATAACCATAACTAGATGATATGCAAATTTATACGATAGGTACCTGGATCAACGTTTTTTAAACATGCGCATTCAATCATGACGGCATCTAATTCTGCATTTTAAACCTACCCAACCCTCTTCCTTTCTACAATCCCTGAGCAGCTGGTTCACCATAAGTGTACCTCGCAGAACTTTTTCAATCCCCATGGGTAAAGATGCTGTGTTGCTCATTCCTCTCCCCTTCCCTGGTGTATTATGGATGCTGTGAATATTCACATCGGTGACATCGCCCCTGACCCTCTTGTACATCATAAAATGAAAATGAAAATGAAAATGAAAAAATAACTTGTCGAGTCCCAGTCTCTACCTAGAACTGCGCACATTTTGGTTTTTTTTTTAAATCTTACAATTTATCTTTTCCAAAATTGTAGGTCAAAAACTGGATATTGTTTGATCGCACCAAAGACAAAAATGTGATCGACATGTCACACTGGGAGCTGGCCGATTTGGGGACGGACGTGCCGAATAACTTTTCGTGTCATAAAATTTTGGGCGACATCGAAAATACCATCGCGTTGACTTTCTTAAAGCAATTCTCTGCCACCAAGGACGAAACGTTGCGTGTCTGCAGCGAGGTGATCCACACTGCCATCCAGGAATGTTTCCTCACGAAATCGAGGGAGTATCTATTCCAGCTGACCGTCTCCAATCATATAGCGCACATTGCGAGAATGAACGAATACACGCCGGACGACTCAAAGTCCATTCGAGTGGAAAAACATTATGGCTCGCTGACCATGATGCGGGTATTGGCGTGGTCAGAGTTTTTCGATTGCAATAAGAATTGCGAAGATTTCAACATGGAGATGAGACTAGATCTGGTGTCTATTGCCAGGAAGGAGAATAATTTCAGACTGTGCCAACACGAGCTGGATATTTTCTACAAAAACTCAAAGTTGGCCTCAGAGTTGAATTTGGAGCAACAGCTGAATGTGGATGTGGCACAGCAGCACCTGATGGCTGTCGAGCATGGTTGCGAAATCTGGGATGAGAGTTTATCACGAGCTGTTTATGAACAATGTAAGTGGCTCTACTGTCAACCGAGTAGAAAACACGAAGCTATTCAGTTCGCATCCGTAGCGGCTAGTAAAATCAATAAGCGATTGAGCTATTCGGAGTCCAGTGCATCGAGTAATTTACGTGAAAGAGGATCACGGTTCTTTCTAACCTTGGCAGATTGGGTGCAAAATGAAGACATCAAGCTTATTCAACAGGATTCCAGTTCTCCGTTGAATGGATTGATTGCTTCGCTACCGGAAGTTAAACCTTTACCGGATAGTCGGATGGTATCGATATTTTCATCGATGGACATTGTCGTGGGAAAGATTCTTCAAGCAAGTACACATACCTGCCCGGAACTGGCCAAAGCATGGTGCCAGTTTGGATCGTGGTGTTATCGATGGGGGAAAAAAATGGTAGAGTTCAACACGGATGCGAATACAGCGCACAACATCAATTTAGAAGAAATCAATAAAATTTTACCATCCACCTTATCAGAGGATCTCCAAAAGCTGATTCTGGTCATTCTAAACCAACACGAGGTCATTTCCGAGGAAGAAGAATTTGGTTTGAATGAGACTAGTTCTACAGATCTTTTGGAATCGCTGAAGGCCACCGTGCCTGAACTACACAACTGTCCTCCTGAGAAGCTTCAGTCTATTGTTGAAATTTGGCGTCAGACTCACAAAACCGTTTACGGATATTACGAGGCGGCAGCGTCGGCTTACTTCAGATTCCTGGAACTTTCCTCGTCGGTTGAGATGGAAAATGAAAATGGAAATTCCTCCACTGTTACAGCAACGCTCCGTTTGCTACGGTTGATTGTCAAACATGCTCTCGGCTTGAAAGAGGTTCTGGAGCGCGGCCTTGCAACCACACCTACTAAGCCATGGCGCGTAATTACGCCGCAGTTGTTCTCTAGATTGAACCACCATGAACCATACGTGAGAAAACGTGTATCAGAGCTACTGTGTCGAGTGGCTAAAGACGCCCCGCAATTGATCATATTTCCTGCCGTGGTAGGTTCCGTTCAGGAGAAAAAGGTAGACATTAGTGAAATGAGCGAAGATGAATCAGTAGAGGCATTGCCGAAAGATTCCAACGACGAAACTTTGGGCCTCGTGTATTGCTTCAATGCCCTGCTGGATATTTTATCGAAAGAAGCGCCTGAAACCGTTCAACAGGTAAAGGTGCTAGTTCACGAACTGAGGAGGATTTCACTCCTGTGGGACGAATTCTGGGTTATATCACTGCAACAAATCTACTCGGAATATAACAAGAGTTTTATCAATTTCGAAAACGAGTTGCATAAACTAAGAGAAAGTAGTCAACTGGAACAAAAACGGGATCTTGTCATAGAAAAGCACAAACTCCTGCATCGACCTTTGGTATTCGTGCTTGAACAGATGTACGAAATGACGTCTAGAGCTCCGGAAACTGCACATGAGCGACACTTCCAGGACCGCTATCTAAAATACATAAGCTTGATGATTGAAAAACTGAAAGAACCACTAGAGTTCAACAAACCTAACGAAGGCTGGACACGGTTTAAGGTTCTGTTTGGTCAATTGCAGCAACGTGGCCAAAAACGGACTTCATTCTCGTTGCGCCTTTCCGAGATCAGCCCAGTCTTAGCCAAGCTGTCGAATACAGCAATTTCAATGCCGGGCATTGAAAGCACTCAAATGCAGCAGATTTTGATCCGATCCGTTGATAACTTGGTGCAGATCTTACCTACCAAGACCAAACCCAAGAAGCTAATGTTCTATGGAAACGATGGTCGCCGGTACAGTTACTTGTTCAAAGGTCTCGAAGACCTCCACCTGGATGAACGCATTATGCAATTCCTCTCGATAGCGAACCTGATGATGACAAAATCCATCGACTGCTACGGTAATGTTACATACTATCGCGCAGAGCATTACTCTGTTATTCCTCTTGGGCCACGATCCGGCTTAATCAACTGGGTAGACAACACGGTACCAATATTTTCGCTGTACAAAAAGTGGCAACAGCGGGAAGCTCAGCAGAAGAAAGACAAACCAGTTAATCGACCTTCGGAATTGTACTATCAGTAAGTTCTTAGCTTTTCGCGATAATTTCAAAATTCTAACCAACTGAACATTGTTTCTCCACACAGAAAATTAACTCCTCTACTCCAGCAACATGGGTTGAAAACCAGCGACAATCGAAAGGATTGGCCAGTGCAAGCGCTAAAGCAAGTGCTCCGGGAATTGCAAGAAGAAACTCCTCGCGATTTGTTGGCAAAAGAGTTATGGTGTCAAAGTACAACAGCTGCCACCTGGCGGCAAGTGATTAGAAACTATTCTTTATCCGTGGCAGTGATGAGTGTTATTGGTTATATAATTGGGCTTGGGGATCGCCATCTGGACAATGTGTTGGTGAAGTTGGCCTCCGGAGAAATAGTGCATATCGATTATAATGTGTGCTTTGAGAAAGGAAAAACTCTACGGGTACCGGAAAAGGTACCCTTCCGGATGACGCCGAATCTGGAGGAAGCACTGGGCATCACTGGAATCGAGGTGAGTGCTACCTATTTTCATCAATTATGTAAAACAACCCATAGCTGGTGGTTCGAAAGACCAAATTCGTGAACTTTTTCATTTGCACCGTTGATAGTGATTTTTTGAATGGGGTGTCTTGAATAAATGTTTTTGAAAATGATAAGACCCATTGATTTGTGTTTATGTCTAGTTCAAAACTTTCCACGGTACTGCAAAAAATGATCTTTTACGTCGTTTTCGTTTTTGCGGTGTAGCTACACCGGTGTTTTACTGCCTATATTTGCATATAACTCCCATATAGATTTCCGTCAATTTTTAGATAACAGCACTACCCGAGTAGCGGCACCGGTGGTGTAGTGGTAAGCGTGATTGCCTCTCACCCTAGCAGGCCTGGGTTCAATCCCAGTCGGCGCCGCCGGGATGTTCTGAGGCATACCATCTCTGATCACGCCTTCCTTCGGAAGGGAAGTAAACCTGTTGGTCCCCGGTCCATGAGTTGATAGGTAATAGGTGGGGTCCAGGTGTGGCGGCTGCCTCCCTGGCATCGGTAGCATTGGTGCTCAGCACGGAAAACAAATCAAGGAAAAAAAAGCACTACCCGAGCAAAGTCGATTAACAAAATGAAAGCAAATCGATATTAAAGTTTGCAGTTCCTATCATAATGAAAGCTCATTTTGATTTCAATTGTCACGACATTAGTCTGATATCATATTGTGCTTTAATTATGCAGTCAAAACTTTTTAAATGAAAGCAACTTACTTGCAGTTCTGCTGTTAACGTCTTTTGTTTAAAATTTAATTTTAGCTCATCTGTCGTTGAACTAACGATTATTGTTTATTTGTTTTGTTTAACACATTTTAGATCATTGAAGCTCGCGGGGTGAGATTTGAGCTCAAGTCTTTCAGCGTGAGAAGCATGGATGCTAACGATTTACGCCAGGCCCGTATTAAGTTACACATTATGAATGCAAAATCAGAAATCAAATAAACTGATTTTGCATTCATCATGTTTGGCTGAATACGGGCCTGGCGTAAATCGTTAGTATCCATTGCATTGATTTCTTTGAAAGCAAGATTAGTTTTCCGTTCGATTCAACAGTGTAAAAGTTTGCTCTCATTTTTGCTGTGTTAACCATTAAGCCAACCAAAATGAGATCAACTGAAGTATTCAAAATAAGTTACATCATAACAGCAACATTTGAAGTTCAATTTGATCTCCAGCTTTGCTCTAGTATCTACTATCTATTGACACATATATTCATATTATGTGTTAAAACTTCGGACTTTGATAATGAAAAATGTGAAAACAAACCACAGAGATGAACCAGCCGACGGCTGAAAGTCTCTTTAATAAAGAAAGATAAGTTGTGAAAACAATATCAAGTCATGTGGCAGCCCAAGGCTAAATGTCTCCTTAATAAAGTTATATATCAATCTTTATCTTCATCTGTGAATTCAATCAAGTGAATTCATTGGCGTTTCAATGGCGTTTCAATGCGTTAGGCCGAGTTTAGAATCCATAGGCCGAGTTTGGCATCAAGAAGCAGTGTCTATAACAATATCTCAACAATATGTTTCCATTTATCAAATCTTACGTACGGAAAGGTAAATAAATTTGGAAGCCATCAGTAATAATAACATTCCGTTTGGTGCTAAACTACGCTAGATTAAGAAATACTAAGTGCGGGTTGTGCCTAATAGGCCGAAAATGGGGTGGCTAACCCTATTTTTCATGTGTATTAATTGAGTGGTATTGAATTATTTCGTCCGGACTTTTAAAATAAAATTTAAATTATTTGTTGGTTTTTTTTTTATTGGGTATCAAGCTGGAGCTGCGTGACAGCTTAGTTTTCAAGACTTGACCCGTTTGAATAAATTTTGCTTCTATCTTTGACAATACAGCAGAAGGACTAGCCTATGTTGGCCGCTTGAACACTGGATTCCGTGTGTGTTGTTTCAAGATAGTTATAGAAAAAAAAAGCGTTTGACAAGCTCTACCGAATTGCGTATCACTTCTGTGTAAGCTCCGTAGACGTAGGCGCGTTGATTCCGACAGCCACGAAAAGTTAAACATGCATCAATACCACATAAGGAAAGATCGATTTTACGTAGGGTTTAGTTCATAGATTAACATTGACTGCTGTTTACAAATGTAAGTACTTGAACACTAAGAAATAAGTTAACTCAAAGGCTTTAACCGCATATATAAGAGATTTCGCGTATTGAGAGAATAATATAGTAATCGAGTTCAACAAACTCAGGGGAATACAATACCTCCAAAAGTTTAAAAGTTGTTTTCTCCGCCCATCTCTCCCTCTGAATAATTCTAATTCCGAGTATCATCCAAATCCTAGGCGCCTTATGCAAAAGTGACACACAAGAAATAAGTGTTAATTTGTTTACTAAAATGAACTATGGCGATTGTGTATGGCAAGTTTTGATATAATGCTCCTCGTGTTTATTTGCGAAATTCAGATCAAAGAAAGATTACTTGCATAGAGAATCAAGTTGGCAAGGCATTTGTGATCATCTTCCGGTCGTATTAAACAGGTCCAACTCTGATCAAATCCACCCGTATATTTTTTATAACGGCAAATAACTCACCAACACTAGCGCATTGTCAGTACTTGATCCAAACCATTACAAGCCGAACATTGCATTCTCTTCGTCAACTTTCTCTTTCGTTAATTACTGGAGCACATAACCTTTTCTTGTTGTGTTTGTTGTATTAGATGCTAGATAAAAGATTCATTTATTAATCTGTGTGCTGAAAATACATGAAAATATAATGGCCGTGGTGATACAAAGAAAAAGTTGACGAAGAGAATCTGTCAATGTTACTTTGGACCTAATGCAATGTTCAGCGTGATTTGTGGAATAGTTGTTCTATCATTTGCGTTATCGTTCGTTTATGTTTTTATTATTATTATGGAACATTCAAACCGCAGCAATCAAAATAAATATTGCTTGCGAAAGAAAACAGCTGATGAACTCACATTCATCAGTTTGACATCCAGTGGTGGTTTGTTTACTTTTGCCTATTAGTAGATTCAAGTGGATTTGAGTTTTTGAATAAAAAGGACCAACAAATATGTTATCCAGCTATGTTCTTTATGAAAATCGTCCTCTCTAAAAAAAAACATTTAATAAAAAGTCCACGTAAACAAACCACCACCAGATGTAAAAATAAAGTGAGGTTAGCCCGATGGTGCAGCTCCCTATAAAGCATTTTATGAGACGTTTCTAATCAGCTGATTTATCAAGTTATTAATGAACTTTGACAGCAGGCAGTAACCCACAAGGAGAAAAAAAAAATACTACCCACAATTTGAGTTCTTATTACTTGATTTTGTGTTGAGTCTCTCACTTGAACTCGTTGTTGTTGTCAAAAAATGAACGAGAGATTCGACCCAACTATATAGTTCAGCCCAATAAGTTACTTTTGAGTAAATTGCATATTCAAAAATTTAGTAGAATATACTTAAGAGTAAGTATTTTTTGCTGATGTTAAATCGAAACTACTATATGCAATTTACTCAAATTTGGGTTATTGGGCTGAACCCGGAAATTGAGGGAAAAGTACTTAATGTTGAGTAGTTTTTCATCTCTGTGTAACGACTGTGAGAAGCAACATCAATATCATCAAATTCTGTCAGGCAAACTGGCTCCTGTCATTGCGTAAAGTGGACGCTAAACCGAAGACAACAAATCAAGAAGACTGGCAACTCTTCCATTTTCTCATACGAACACTATGAGACAGGTACAATCGCGTCATCTGTCGCTCAAAGGTAAATGCTCTCTTACGAATTTGATAGCAAAGATTACAGCCTCAGAAGAAAGGTTTGTGTATTTGCTCATTTTTAAATGCGTTGCTTCCACCTTTACTCAAGCGCAGCGCTATTATATCTGTCGCTTGGATTCTAGCAAAGTTGCCAGTCTTCTTGATGTGATGTCTTCGGTTAAACTCAGGCGAACAAAAGAGCCGACAAATTTATATCGACTCACCTGCTTCAATCACATCACAATGCTCATTGGCAGCGCTCCTCGGACTCCAGGAACATACTATCGAATATTTTCGGTGTATAATGGGAGAGTGTTATCACCGATTTTGAGACAGCGATATTTTCATGGTTTGGATGGGGGAGGAAAATTAATAATCGTTAAAGAATGCGAGATGAAAGTACTGTCGATTTACCGCTCTGCGGAAAGCAGGGTCACTTATCTTTATTATACAAATAAAGGGCTGTTCATAAACTACGTAGACACCTAGGGGGGGGGGGGTAACAATTTATTGTCTACGCAGGACAGGGGGGGTCAAGAATAAAAAAAAACTGTCTACGTAGTTAATGAACAGCCCCTAAGGCTCCCTCTCATAATTTGTCATGAGTGTATTCGCGGCATGTAATCATGGCTCAATGTTCCTGTGCTTAAAAATGTTCCGTTGGATTTGTTAAACATATCACGATTCGTTTTATGGCTTGTCCGTAAACTACGTAGATGATTCGAATTCTTCTTATTTTTCTTTTCTTCCTTCTGTTCTTCTTTTTCTTTGGCTTTATGACGTCCGTACTAGGATTTTATGCCAGTTCTCATTAGTGTTCTTTAAGCACTTCCACAGTTTTGAATGCTAAATATGAGCATATTCAGGCAAAAATTTGCTTCTTCTACTAAAAAATGCGTATTCGGCTTTCAATAAGCTCAAATTAAATGCTATGAATTGGGTTGTTAGTGGAATACTCATAAGTGCAAACAAAAAAACATGGACCAAATTCCTAAGTGGGATTAAATGGGAAATAATCACTTTTTTTTTGCTCTTCCAGCTCAAATTGCTTGTTGGGAATTAAGAGCTTTCCAAGTCTGTACCAACCCCGTAACGTTGGTAGATCACCTTTTTGTGGTACGTTATGGGATGTAAGATCTACCACCGATTCTTATTCCTGACTACTTCTAACTAGGGGAACAGGATCTTTCAGTGATCAAGGGAACACATCTTAGTCCTTGTTACTTTTTATGCCTTGTTGATAGTGACAAGACTCGGCTTCGTCCACAGAGGATGATCTTGAAACAAGGAAAAATGAGTTAGTAAGTCTTCATTTATGTGATTCTTGATTTACTATTTGTTGTTCTCTAGTTTGAAATGGTTAAGACTATGCATGGTCATTATCGGTGTCATTGCTTAATTTTGTTGCTAAGGAATCCAATTTTGACTGACAAAAGAGCGCGCCTTTGAAGGGTGCTCTCACTCTTCGAAGGGTATAAATAGCGGGACCTTTCAATTCAGAGGCGTCACAAACCAATCCCACCAAGGTGGTCGACCGTGTACTAAGTCTAGGACTAATTCTGTAAAACAAATTTTGAATTTTGCCCATACCTAAAGATGAAGAAAGCAATTAAATCACTTAGTAAAAATTTATATGGTAATCGTCCAAGTTAAACTAAAATAAAGATCATTTAAACTAACTAATTCAGAGGCGTCGCGTGCCTCATTTGTTTACCTGTGCACCAAACTTTATTCGTTATAGTTTACCACCACATATTAGTTTTTGTTGTATTTTTCAATGCTCCATGAATTTGAGGTATATATTCTCAATTACTTTATTAATCACTACCTTCACACTAAGATTATTTTACCGAAATCTCAACAGCTGAACGTTCGGTAAACAGTTCGGTGATTTTTCACAGATACCTATTCGTTGAAAAATTGCAAGAAATTTGTGTAAAATCACCGAACTGTTTACCGAACGTTCAGCTGTTCAGATTTCGGTCGAATTTCACAGATTTCGGTAACATTTACAGTAACATTTCGTAACATTTGAAGGGTCTATCATCTTGTGTAAACAAAACTTGTGTGGCTCTTTTCGCGCTCGAAGTAGAAGGAATTTCAAAACATAACTAATTCTCGTTTTTATCACAAGACTAACTCTTTCGACTGAAGTGTAATGAAGAATATCCGTCAAACACTTCCGAAAACATTTTTTGATACAACACAGTGTCAAAATCTAGAGAAAATTCATAAAGTCCCCTGGGTAGCAAACTTGAATTAATCAACTCTTTATTCATCAAAACAACACTATCAGAATGAACCAGGGGAAGCTCATAAGTTTTGACAGGCGGACCGGCGCAACCATCGCTAATTAGGTTTTGCACCGTCGGGGTTAACCTCAATCTGATGACAGTTCAGTGGTACGGTTTACGTGGACTTAGTCGTTTTTTTCTTGGGTAGATTTTCTCGATAATTTTTCAGACTGCAGTGAGATGTAAACCACACTTCTGCATTGTCCACAAGCAACATCCTTTCACCGCGCTGTTCCTCGACAATTTTCAAGTTAAAATTCGGAAATTTTAGAATTTGTTTTTTTTTCGAAAAAACGACTAAGTGCTTGTAAACAGTACAGGTTGTTCTTGAACACATATGTGTTCATTTTTAGTAAACAGGGCCCCGCTGTTGTGTCACTTTTTGTCGAGTGAGTGACTTCAAATCCATCCGTGCACTTCGACAGTGAGCATGCATAAGGGCCTATACGCGATGATCGATTCTCTTCGTCGATTTTCTCTTTTGTTAATAACTCGCTAGATTTAACGTTTCTCGATGCGTTTGCTGTTGCTTTTGATAGCCAATACAACCTGTTACTACTCTGCATTGAACAAATTCTAGAAAATTGTTTCGCCTAGCTGTAGCAATGCAAAGAGAAAATCGATGAAGAGAATCGATCATCGCGTATTCGCCCTTATGAATGCTCACTGTCGACTTGTCTATTACGTACTGCAGCGTGACGTCATAAATGAACTCAGTGTTAATCGGCTGAACCTTTTTGACAGTTCAGTGGTACTGTTTACAAGCACTTAATCGTTTTTTCGAAAAAAAATTCTAAAATTTCTGAATTTTAACTTGAAAATTGTCAAAAATGTTGTAAACATTACTGAACATCTGCGAACAGATAGATATACGTCACTGCCAACATACTGAGAACAGATAGAAATACGTCACTGCCAACAGCTGTTTCGTGTAAAAAGATAAACATTGCAATATAATACGAACACCACTAACCATTTGCACATTTCACTAACACCAATAAGCCCTTTGGCCCAGACCTTATATAAACGTCATTGAGGCACCCATACATCACAAAGTTCTTCTAATTTAAACTCACACACTCAAACCGGTCTCCAAGTATGATACACGTCCAAAGCGTACCAGACTGCTGTTTCCGTGTTGCTCCCGTTTGACGCGTGACTGCTGAAAGTTTCAATTACAATTAGTGGTGCAAACCGCTATGTATTGTGGAAAATTTAGTGGTATGTTTCAAGAGGTGATAGAAGGTCTGCTTGGCTTACACCAGGCATTTGACCATTAACAAACTTGCCACCCGCCAACCAAAAAAGCTCGCTTTTAGGTGCACTATTTAACGAGTTTTGTCATGGTAGTGATATCGACATGCTTAGAAATCAATGCATTAGGGATTAGGCAGACCATCCCAACTGAATTTAATCCTTTTTGAAGCAAACCAAGGTCGAAGATTTAATTGAACCACACTATAAAATAGTGTATTCATGGTCACATGTGGTCTGGAGTAAAGAAGTACAGCTATAATGCGATCATAAAATCTATAAAAATCTAAACGCATTTTTTTAAGTTATTTACACCTCCGTCGTGCACAGGTTGTACATGTGGACACGACGTTTCAATTATAATCAATACCTTGCCATGAAGGCAAGAATGACAACTGTATCAAAATCGAATATTTCATCATTTCTCATACGACATACACTGGGATAATACGACATGCACTAAACTAAGGACACCGGATACATTACAATAAATCAAATTACTGGTCGCAGTTGTTTTATGTCCCGAACAGTGAAATAAAAGCCTGTATCATTTTTGCATCAGTATTATTGTGTGAAGTTCAATAATATTCCGTGCCCAGGGAAGCCGAGAAATTTTCCAACCCGAAAAATTCCAAGATCGGACGATTAATCGAACCTAGCCGCACCAGCATGATCATGCTTTATAGCTGCGCCTTCACCGACTGAGCTAAGGGAGGCCTTTGGATTCAAAGATCCCACATTTACCTACTTTAAAAAATGTAATACGAAGGCATTTAAGGTGTTGATCAATTTCACCACACATCGATATTTTCAAATTCCTAAAGCTAAACAAAACTATCAATATGATAAGTATCGCTAAAACACCCTCCAAACGAAACCTAAGGAGCTCCTCTTTCATTAGAGGCTAGTTTGAAAATGTTCTATCGGGAGCCATTTTTCCATACAATTTTGAGACTTAAATGGACGTGATTTTCACTGAAAAATACGAAACAAATAAATATTGTTCTAGGCCCCCTTTTAGAACATTTCGAAACAAGCCTCATATGTATGACAGAGCGAGTCCAAGCTTTCGTTTGGTGGGTGTTTCAGCGATTATTATTTTTTTTAAATAAGGTTGTCTCTCATAGACACCGTGAGAACGATATAGTCCTCGTACCGTGCCGATTCAAATTTCGGACACTTAAACTCGAATTTCGGACACTTTTAAAAGTTGATTATCTTGGTCGAATATGATCCATCCACATGTCTTGTAAATTTTAAATTTTTTTGACTAGTGCCCTCCACGATCATCTAACATTATTACTTTGTTTCTAACTGGATGTAATATTTAATTAAAAATGAAAGTGTCCGAAATTTGAATCGTCCGAAATTTGAATCGGAACGGTATATAGCTACTGACTTTAAGGGTATTAGCATAGAAGTAATTTTAAGACTAGTAGGTCCCGAAGAAACGTGCTCAACTTTTTGGCTCAGCTCTGGTACTATCTTCGGTCCCAAGCTAATCGATTCACCTCTCGAAACATAGGAAAATCAACTAACCCCTCATTTTATCTGTCAAACTTTCATAGCGAATCAAAACAAACATTGTGTAGTACTAGAATTTGACTAGAATGGGGTACGTTAATCGATTTGCTTGGGCTCAATAGGGTAGTCAAGTAGTGAGCCAATTTAAAATCGTTAGTTTCCACTGGTTGGAATTAGTTGGTTTTTTATAGCAATTTATTTTAATATGTAGGGTGGATAACGGCTTCAATCTCCCCAGAAAATTCATCAGAAATCCATCCAAAAGATGTTCTTGATGTGAAGCATCATACTGCAGAAAATGAGCGTTGTAAGTTATTGTTTACCCCATGATGAGGATTCTCGGCCGTTCTCCACCCTTCGTTAAAATGTCAGACATAACATTTGATAACGGCACAAAAGCATTTGTAAACAAACTTTCTAAGGCCCTTTACACGCGAACCAATGTACGCCCACGCAAACCAATACCACTTTCAGAAAGATGATAGTTGCCCCTATCCGATGATGTTGTTGGTTGTTGATGTTGTACTTTGGTTCGCGTGTAAAGGGCCTTAGGAATTTTGTTTACAAATGCTTTTGTGCCGTTATCAAATGTTATGCCTGATGTGTTCAATTTGGATTATGATTCATGATAGATCTTCAATAAATCCAGCCAGTTCATTTGCTTCACTGCTGGTCGTATATATTGCTGGTGGATCAGAACACCAAACTGGAATATAAAATGGCATTGTTTCGTTGAAAAAGTACCGAAAATAGACCAGCCGTAATGTAAGACATTTTTGTTTTGTATTTTCCATCGTCTCCGATATCTGGATAGTTTGTACATTCATGGATTGCTAATACTTTGCCGTTTTTGCTACAATGTCAAATTGATTCTTGTCTATAAACGTGTAACATCTTCTTGGAAACAAGGGTTATTTGAACCCATTACATCGTCAATATCACAGTTGTGATTGTCTTTATAAGTGTTACTTTCCCTTGCCTGTTTTTTGCTATCATCAGTCTCATTCGTGGAACTTTTAGTTGAAAATGATCCATTTCTTCTGTTCTCGTTTTTCACGTCCAAAAAGCTTTCATAAAGGTTGTAGTTATTGATTATCACATTTCCTTTGATGATGTGCGTTGTAATACTGGCCGGTCCAGTCGTGCTGCAATCCCTGCTGCTCGGCGTTCCAATTGACAGTTGGATGGTGTGATTTTGAACCGCCTCGTCATGTAGCGATGAAATGACCGTAATCTCATTGTCATTGATTTGTGCTATCGATTCCGCTGCGCTAGGCTGACTATTTCTCGAAGTAGCTGTATTCTGTGCCCGATTTGTGCCACTTTCGGCGTCATGGTGTGATCGTGAACCATCCCGCTTGGACGTTTTGTTCCGTGGACTGTCACCCGTTTGTGGGCAATCCAGTTGGTCTGGTTTCCGGCAGGTCAATAGCTTAGTGAACGCATGGCGAAAGTTGGTATTTTTCCATGCATAAATCACAGGATTCATCATGGAATTTGCCATTGCTAGTGAGAATACTGCTTTGTACAGGGTCGGTGAGTTCTGCTCGAATAAGTCAAATATTTGCGTTAGAATCACAACAAAGTACGGTAGCCAGCAAAGCGTAAAGCAACCCATTATTAGCAAAACAACCTGCAATTAAATTTGAATATTATATTTCATAAATGCTGGTGCGTTGGTGGATTGCTGCTCACCTGTACCGATTTCCAATCGGATGAGCTTTCCTGGGAGTTGTGTACTCGAAGTTGTTTGGCATGTTTAGCCGCCTCTCGCCATATTCGCCAATAAACGAGAAGTAAACAAAACCACACCAGTGAGAAGATTGGCGTTATCACTCCTGCTACGTACCACGGGTGTAGGAGTTCATCAAATTCGCACTCCATTGCTGTGTCCCACTTGTTCCAAATCAGCGGAATGGTGGCAATGAAAATGGCTAGGCACCAACCGAAGCCCAGAATCACCAGGGCTACCTTTTTTGTCATCAAGCTGAAAGAATAAGAGACAGGAAAAGATGTGTAAACAGCATGTTGTAATGCGGTTTGCATTAGAATATAGTACCGTTGTGACGGGTTTCTTTGGACAATTATCTGATGTAAGCGAACTTGAATGTGTTCTTATGAAATCGAAAAAGTAGTTAATAATATACAGATTTTTTGGTAAACTTTCATGTGGCACATTGATCCCATTGGCCTAAGTTAAAACATACAGCAATAATACATACATTTTACATGAAATTATTTAATAATATATTAATTTGCCTTGAATTTTACATGCTTGTGTTGAAATTGATTTAATTTTCAACGAACAACGATACAAATTTACATGAACGTGTATATTTCAGCTTTCATTCAATGAATTTCAGAACGTCAAACATGCTACTACATGTAAAACCTGCTCTAGTTGGTAGTTAAAAATTACAAAATGTTTTTATCTGTGTAGGCTGGGATGTAGATTTTTTGGAGATACCTTTATGGTGTGTCATGAGAAGTATATAAACTATCAAGATTGATTGTAGAAAATGTTTGCAATATAACCATAAAACCGCAGTTGGAAATGTATAAATACGGGCTACTTTGGACAAGGGGTAAACTTTCATCTGTTTTGATAATACAATGGACAAAATAAATCAACATCATAAGCTGCATCCTATAATATACATCCAGTACAAAACTCATAGTCAGATCAGTCTAATTACTGGTTGAACAGAACTTTTAAAAAATCATGCATTTCTGATATGGTGGATATTTAATATGAAGAAACATCACCGGGTAAACCGGAAAGTAACCTCTCATACCTTGGAATTCTTTATGGAATTTCCTTGGAACTCATATAAGAATATCCTTGGAATAGTCCTGAGAATTCAATTCCTTGAAAAAGGAATACGTCTTTGATTTCTATATGGGGTTACACTTTGTGAAAACCGAAAATGGTACATGTAACCAGGCATGGAAAATCATTTTCATTCATTTCATGCATTAATTTACATTCATTTGGCTCTAACTTTTTTCATCAACAGCATTCCGCAAAATAATGTATAGAGCTTTAGTAGGTTTTGCCCATAATTAAAATCTGTATCTCTTATGCATCACGAATTAGAGCGGGCAGAACTTGTTACTGTTCTTCAGTGAATGTAAAATACATTCACTGAAAAACAGTAGTGGATTCTGTTCACTCTGATTTATCATGCATAGGAGATACGGATTTGAGTTGTTAACAAAAGTTGTAGTTAGTAACAAAGCCTACAAAAGCTCAATACATTATTTTGCGGAATTCTGTTGATGAAAAAAGATAGGGGCAAATGAATGTAAATGAATGCACGAAATGAATGCAAATGATTTTCCATGCCTGCATGTAACAAATTAAGAAAGATTTTGAACGTTAATAACTCAGCTGCCCCTGGTCCAATTTCAATAATTTTATCACCAATCGATCAGAAATATGGCTACGCATCGATAACAATGCTTCCGAATGTTGATTTTCAACAAGAAACTATTGAAAAACTGGTAAATGTCCAGCATTGTCCAAAAGCGTCGAATTGACTAACAAATCCACCAATTACCTACATGCATATGCTGCTTCCCCAGCACAGTCGTCAGAGAGTAGTAAGTAGACGAAACAAGTCGAAGTGGCATTCGCCTCCGATCCTCGGGCGCGTGCGAATAGGAAGAATGGTATTGCGTAATATTTTGCACACTCATCGCTATATGGTGTTCCTGAAAAATGAGATCCGTGATGCTGTCACCTACACTAAACACGCCAAGCGTAACAGGGCCATCAAGCTTATATCAGTAAAGAGTTGGAATAGAATTTATCTGTGCCTGTTTGTCCATATTCAGAACCACAAGCCCCCAACGACCACACAAAATGCTCTCCAGAGTTGTAATCTTGTAACCAAACTTGGAAGCAGGGGTGCAAGTGATTTTGATTGATTCTCTTAATCAATTTTCTCTTTGAAACAAATTACTACAAATTTGGTACGCCTACAATTCAAAAACGGAAAGAGTTGAGATAATAGATAATTGATCAATTAAAAGAACTAAATGCTCTTCACATTTATTCCGTCCACTAGTGGTCCTACGTCAAACTTCCGTTCGTGCCCCTAGGTACAGACCCTTCTACTTTTTTTAATCGAAACTCTCCTCTATTCCTTTTAAAATTATACCTAGAAAACCATTCAAATTCTGTTTATAATTCTCTTTGAATTCTCGTCAAAATGCTCATACAATTTACTTGCGGGATACGATCCCCATAAAATTCACTAAGGAAGTTCTTTTCACCTTATTCTAAGAATTACGTAAGAATTTAATTCAGCACATCCTTTCGTTTACCCTGACATTCCTTGGAATTCATCTCAGGATTCTCCAGGACTCTTATATCAGAATTATCTTGGAATCCTGGTCAGTACTTCTTAAGAATCTTTACCAGAATGTTGTAGTTATTCTCCTTAACATTGCTCTTGAATTAACACTTTAATTCCTTTTAAATTTTCCTACGAATCCCATAAGTATTCTACTCAGAATTCTATCGATTTTTTTTTAATGGAGGGGGCCCTGGAAAATCTTCCATGTTGCTGAAAATTTTCCAGAACCAAAATAATAATATTTTTTTAATCGGGATCTTATGAATTTCCCAAAATTATACATGTTGCGTATTTTTTTCAATATCATATTAAAAAAACAATTCGTTTTTTTTTTCTTAATCGAGGATCTTGAAGATTTTTATAAATCACAAATCTGAAAAAAAAAACATTGTCTAATGATCTTTGCACAAGTCGATGACTTAAAATCACGGATATTTTCTTAATCCAATTTTTTAAGATTTATCTTTTTTTTCCTTGATATGTTTTCCGTCGATCTTGTTTTCCGTGCTAAGCACCAATGCTACCGACGCCAGGAAGGCAGCTCCCACACCTGGACCCTACCTATCGACCCATCAACTCATGAACCGGGGACCAACGGCTTTACTTCCCATCCGAAGGAAAGCGTGATCAGAGATGTTATGCCTCAGAACATCCCGGCGGCGCCGACTGAGATTGAATCCAGGCCTGCTGGGGTAAGAGGCATTCACGCTTACCACTACACCACCGGCGTCGCTGTTTTAAGATTTATCGTTTGTTTTATGTTCTAGATTCTAGAACATAGACCGAATTAAATGACCCATTCAGCTGAAATAGCGTTCTATCTAGATACCATTAAAATGTGCCATTACTCAGTTGCTCAGCTTTAGTGCTGGGGCTTTACAATCATAAGAGGTCTACAGCTGAAAGTGATGCAAATAGATTTATCTAATATCACGATAATATCATTTAGGTACTTTTCGTATATTTAATTCAATCGCCCAACATTTGAGGATCACTTCTAGTTGACTAATATGCTGGACTGACGAATTCATAATATTATCAGCTGACTCATAATTGTGTAATGACTGTGAAACGTGTATAATAGATCGTTAGGATCAATGGTATATTTTATTTAATATATCAGAGTTATTGCAATTATTATACGTTTTTTTGTTATTGCAGATAATTGTCTCACAAATCAACCACAAAAATTTGCACTCGTTCACGATAAAAAAAAAAACAAAATCTTTGAATACTTCCTGTTTTATTTGTTTATTATAAACCGGGAAATTTTTGAGATTTTAACGGGTAAACCGGGAAAAAATCAGGAATTTCTAAATGCAAATTTACTGGCAACCCTGATCAGCTCTCTTTTCTATACCTGGCCATAACATTGTTGTAATTAGTTTCACATGAAATATCCGTTATTATGAATGCTTATCGACTGCCGAGACGTGCTTTTGAAAACATTTAAGTTTCAACAACTATTTTAGGTCAAATTCTTGGAAAGGTACACTTTTTTAACATTGTGTTACTGTCGTCAAGGTACAATGATCTATTATATCGAAACACGTTGAAGCAAGATATTCATAACATTTTGAAAACAAAATATATATTTCAAGCTGGAAATATTTGCTGTTTTAAAGAAATTTAAGCGCTAATTGTCGTTATCCCAACCTAAAACAGTGGGTAGAGCACTACTTCAGCCTAATCGCCCATTTTGGGCCTATCGAGCAGAAAACTTCAAATAAATCCGTGATTTCAGAGTTAACAAGTCAATTATGCGTTTGGTACGATACTTTAGTTAATAAGCTACCGAACGAAGTCAATGAGAACGCGTGGTATGAAAGTTTGCACCCATTATTCCCAAAAACAAAAGAAGCGCTCCGACCGAATCAATTTTTATCTTCATACGATAGGCCGAAGTGAATTCATTGGCGTTTCAATTTCGTTTCAATGCGTTAGGCCGAGTTTAAAATCCGTAGGCTGAGTTTGGCGTCAAGAAGCAGTGTTGGACTTTTGACAATATCTCAACGATTGGTTTCTCATTTTCAAATCTTATGGTACGTACGGAAAGGCAAATAAATTTGGAAGCCATCAGTAATAATAACATTCCGTTTGGTACAAAACTGATCTAGATTAAGAAAGACTAAGTGCGTGTTATGCTTAATAGGCCGGAAATGGGGTATTTAACCCTATTTCCAAAGCAATTCAAGCAAACTGAACATTTAACACTACACAAAAGACAACCTCCCTTAGCTCAGTCGGTAAAAGCGCAGCTACAAAGCAAGACCATGCTGGAGGTGGCTGGGTTCGATTCCCGGTCCGGTCTAGGAATTTTTCGGGTTGGAAAATTTCTCGACTTCCCTGGGCATAGAAGTATGATTGGACTTGCCACACAATTATACCAATGCAAAAATGGTACAGGCATCGAAACCTCTCAATTAATAACTGTAGAAGTGCATCTAGAACACTACACAGCAAAAAAAATAATTTTGATATCACGTCAATGTGGATGTGATGAACTAGCCTACGGCTAAAAATCTCAAAAATAAAGAAAAAAAAAAAAAAAACGTCAATGTGGATGCACTACAATCATGTCGAAAATAGGGTGTAATATTACTTGCTAAAAAGGACAAAATTATCA